AGATAATGCAAAAATAATAAATATATTATAAAAAGATTTTCTAAGTGTTTCTTTCTAAAAATGTACATTTGTATACTGTATAAATGTTCAGTCTCATTATTTTTCAACTGGTCCAAGTAAATCATATATTAAGTATTTTTTATGAGAAGCAAATAAATGAAGTTATATTGTTATTTCATTCATTAAATTATTTCATTTATTATGAATACATAATTTAGCATTGAATTACTTTTAAATCTTTAAATAATTTGTTATTTTTTAAAAATTATTTTATATTATATATTGTGATGTATGTACTCTTACTTTGCTAATTAACATAAGCATTTCTATTGTTATCTATTAATTTGTCATTTTTGAATTATGATATTAAGCAAATTCAGATTCAATTTTCTAGCATTTAAAGCAAAAATTTTAAGTTATTTTAAAGTTTTGCTTTATTTTTTTTTTCTCATTTAATCATTTTTATTGGCTAGTTATCACATTTTACAAGTCATTCTACTATCACATGCATTTATTTAAAGACAAATAAGTATACAGTCAAACCTTAGTTTTCAAATTCCTCACTTTTTGAACAATTTGGTTCATGAACAAAATTTCGAACTCATAATTGCTCCAGTCAAACAAGCTACTTGGCAAGAGCTGCTCACAGATTAGAGAGACACAGGTAGTTGACTCCCTATACTTCCTATGTTAAAGAAAGTCAATGGCAGGACTACTAATTCAGAAGATAGTGGTGCTGAGATCACTTTGCATCATTAGATATCACATCATGAATCATTGATAACATTGCTATTTAAATTAGATTTCAATGTGCATGCAGGAAAGATACTATTTCCATTGTTTGGTATGAGCAACAGCTAAATCAAATTATTTAATAAAAACTGTGTTAACTGACATTCACGTAGTATAAATAGCATCCAAGATTTCATATTTAAATATGCTTAAGTTAAATTAAATAACAAAAATTTATTAATATAATATCATATTGCATTTGTAGGCCTTTTATGTATGAAATACAGCTAAAAAAAAATTAAAAAAAAAGCTTTGTTTTGGAAATAAATTAATCCATTTTATATTGTTTCTTATGGGAAAATTTGTTTTGGCTTTAGAACAAATCGATTTTCAAACAACTTTTAGGAATGAATTATGTTCAAAAATGAGGTTTGACTGTATTTATTTATATAATTTCTCTGGTTGTATTTTTCTTTAATATAATATTAAAACCTAAACTTTCTATTCTATTCCTATTTCTATTCTAAAACCTAAACTTTCTATTCAAAAATCGACACTAAAAATTTTTTATACAACATTCAGGTTTACATAGTTTCTGCAATCAAATAAATAATATTCAAAATTATTTAATTCCTAACTTCTTACAATATTTTTAAAAAAAATCTTCATTTCTTCTAATTATTAAACAATAATATATAAAATGTGAGAATAAATACAGGAAAAAACACATTTCTTAAGTAATATCACCAACATGCTTAAAAATAAAAATTCAAATTTAAGAAGATATGACAAAACTTTATTCTGAAATAACCTTATGTAAATTTTTATGTTAATTTTGTTGTAAATGTAAGATAAAAATATTTAAAGATTAATAAATAATAAATGTAGAAAAGAGACTTTGTATTATATTTAAAGAAATCTTAATTATGTGATGTTAAATTAATGAAAACAATGTAAACAAACCAAGAAATCAAATATATCAAAAGAACAATGGAGAAATTAAAGAATATAAATACAGTATAACTTCTCTAACTCAAAACTCCAAGGGGCAGAAAGAACTTTGAGTTACAGATGATTCAAGTTAGAGAATAATAGAGTGAAAAATATCAATTTTGAATAAATTCGTATTTTTACCTCTCTTGCATTTTATATAAAGAATCTTTGATAGGTTTTTTTTTTGTTTTAAACTGCCCATGTAATGCCTTTCAGCAAAATGTTCAATGTAACTAATGGAATTGAACAGTTTTGCAAATACACCCATACCTCACTATACGGCTGCTCTTTATATGGCATTTCGCTATAACGGCCCTCTTCAATTAAGGCACATTTTCGATTTACAACCTAAAATGTTTCGCTATAAGGGCAAAAAAAAACTTTTTTTCAATGTTGATATATCTACATGTTGCTAATCTTGCACAAGCGCAATCTCGATGCACACTCTTTTCTATTTCCTCTTGTTTACGAGCGTTATTCAGTGCGTGCTCATAAAGCGGCTGGTTTAGACTTGTCTGTGAGTGTTTTATGTAGTACATATTTATTACTGATTGTTACACATTAACTGGAAAAATTGGAAACAATTAGGGACATTTTTGGTACGTAAGTACATATGTATGTATGTATGCATGCATGTATGTATGTATGTATGTACAAATTAAAAATTTTTAATATGTATTTTTTTATTAAACTTATTTTATAATTTCATTATTTTTTAGACAAAATGCCACCGAAATGATTATTGACTTCGGAGACTGATAAAAAGAGATGCCGAAAATCAGTCACGCTACGAACTAAACTAGAAGTATTACGTCGTATAGAAGCTGGAGAGAAAATTGTTGAAATTTGCAAGGCAATGGGACTTGCGAAATTTACCATTCAAAACTATTCGCGATAAAAAAGAAGATATTAAAACATATTTGCAATCTGCTGCACCTTTAAATGTCTCGAGATTAACACACCAAAGAAACTGGATTATGGAAAAAATGGAAAAATTATTGATTATATGGATTGAGGACAATAACAAACGGAGAATGCCAATGAGTCAAATGACTATCCAGGGAAAAGCTTTAAGAATTTTCGAAAATTTGAAGAATGGAGATACCAATGAATCTGCTGAAGATGTCACATTCCAAGCAAGCCGAGGATGGTTTGAAAAATTTAAAAATAGATTTAATTTGCATAATTTGAAAATGAAAGGTGAAGCAGCTAGCGCCGATGAGGCCGTATCTAAGGAATATCCCAACATTTTAAAGGAAATTATTGAAAGAGGTGGTTATAAACCTAAACAAGTGTTTAACGTAGACAAAACAGGGCTTTATTGAAAGCGAATGCCTGATCGCACGTACATTTCAAAAACCGAAAAATCTGCGCCTGGTTATAAGGTGTCCAAAGAACAATTAACTTTGCTACTTAGTGCAAATGCCGCGGGTGATTTTAAGCTAAAACCACTTTTAATATATTTGTCCGAAAATCCAAGGCCTCTTAAAGGACTAAATAAAAATCAATTACCCGTCATATGGAGATCCAACAAGAAAGCTTGGATGACTAAAGCTACTTTTGAGGATTGATTCAAAAATCACTTTTGTACAGAAGTGAAAAAATATTTGCGAGACAATAACTTAAGCAACAAGGCTTTGCTAATTTTGGATAATGCACCAGGGCATCCTACTAATTTATCTGAACTATCTGAAGATGTCATGATTGAGTACCTTCCGAAAAATACAACAGCTCTGATCCAACCAATGGATCAGGGTGCAATAGCCACTTTTAAGGTATATTACCTACGCCAAACTTTCCGACAACTTATAAGGGAAACCGATGGTAAATCTTCAATTAAAACATTTTGGAAAAACTATAACATCAAGGATGCTGTTGACAGCATCAGTGAATCATGGAAGGAATTAAAATTAACAACAATGAACCATGTTTGGAAAAAAATATGGCCGGAATGTGTAAAAAGTACTGATGCAGAAGTTAATTTCCTTCCTGAAATCAGGCAAAACACTTTGGATCTAGCACATGATCTTGGCTTTGAAGGTTTGAACGAATGTGATGTGCTTGATCTACTTGAAGCTGATAGGGTTTCATATGAGGAACTCATTCAGTTGCAAGCAGAACCAGCATTTGATGAAGAGACAGAGCCTAATGTATCCAAACAGCTAACATCAAAAAATTTGTTGAAAGCTTTTTCCAGTTTCGAACAAGGAATAAACATCCTCCTTGAAAACAATCCTGACGTCAAACGTAGCGCTAAAGTTTCTTGAGGAATTAATTCAGCCATTAGCTGTTACAAATCACTGAAGAACAAAATAGACAAGAAGGCAAGTCAAACAATGGTGGACAATTTTTTTAAGCCAGGCCCATCCTTACCAGCAAAAAATGATGACAACAGTGATCTGCAGGTTACCATTTCTTCATCGTCTTCAGATTAAAGCCATTTAAAAAAAAATTATGTATTTAAACATACACATATTTTATGTAACATGAAGTTGTTTCATTTTTGTTTATAGATTATTGTTGGTTTTTGGAGTCTGTTATTATTTTATGTACAAATGTATGTACTTCTTATGTATGTATTTTTGATTTAAATGAAATAAAAAGATAAAATGCATTTTGAATGATAAACCATGTTACATATTTAACAAATTTGGAACCGATTCCATTGAATTTGTATGAATTTGTATTAGAATAATTGATTCCTTATACAGCTTTTCGCTTTGCGGCCAAGTTTCGTGGAACGTATCTAGGCCGTAAAGCGAGGTATGGGTGTATATCTTGTACAGATGAAGCAAGAGGTCCTCTCACTTTGGACTGGAACACTGTCTGTAAATTGGACAGTAAATACAAATAACTGTCTGAAAATTTCATGGAAATCCAGTAATTATGATCACTTTGGATAGAATAAATATAAAATTCAAGTCAGGGAAGTTGAAAGTAACATAAATCAGTGTCAGGGACCTGAAAACTCAAATTTTCTCCAGGTTGAAAGGTTAAGGAAATTCAAGTTGGAGACATTAATTCCTTATGCTATTCCATTGAAACCTACCAAGTTATAATTACCAAGTTCTTCAAGTTACAGACATTTGAGTTAGAGAAGTTTACTGCATTGTTTATTAATATATATCAAAGAATATATAGAGAGATATCTCTCTCTGTATACATATTCTTTGGCATAATAAAAATAAAGGAGCAAGAAATAAGTCTGATGTTATAAACTTTTTTTTATTCTGAAAATGGAAAATTTTCAAACATTTTATCATCATGTTACTTACCTTGCAACATATTTTGTATTAAGATACGAGTCATCATGGCTTTCAAACTTATTACCATAACATGAAGTAACTGAAAATTTCGAGTCATACGAAATGCTAATTCTTCATTACTGAACAGCTGGACACTAACATGAACAACTCTATTAGACAATGTGTCCGAATCACCAGACTGTGCCAACATCACACTAATACGACTATAATGATGTACAAAAGTTTCAGTAAAAGATTCCTAAAAGAAACTGATTTTAGTTAAATCTTCGAAGAAATAAATAAATAATTTAAATAAACATTATAATACCTTATATTTTACATCAGGTAGCATATTCAGAAGATAGCATACTAATTTCTGTGGAAATTCAAATTTAACTGTCCAAAATACTAATTCTTCAAGAAATGTAGTGTGTTTTAATTCTGCCTGAAGAGATTTAATATCTGAAATGAAAATTATTAATATAATATATATTAGAATAAAAAGTCAAAATTTAATTACTTTTTATTTTAAAGTTACTTTATATTATACAGTGGGTGATCGGTTAACAAACATAATCTGTTCCAAGACTTTGTTTGCTATCCAAATTGTTTGTTAACCAATTATCGATTTACCATAGATTTTTATGGGAATTTGATTAATTCATTCTAGAGACCCCAAAAACTAAATAAAAAATTATATACTTCTTACAATGTTTATTTACATGTAATAATAATACATATATACACAGTCTTGCATTTTTATCAGTCATGTTTTTCTGTTTGTGGGAGGTTAAAGAATCAGTCCAATGTTAATTGCTTTTCTCTTTTCTTCAGGATTTTTCGGAAGTAATTAATAGTATTGTAATTGTAGAGATTCCCAACTCCATTAACCTTATTCTGGTTTGGATGCCACTTGGATGATCGTTGTTCTGACATCCTCCCACTTCTTCAAAAGATCTTTAGTAGAATATGTCGACATTGGTCCTCTTTCGTCTTCCTCTTTTTCAAAAGAAAATGCATCTTACTGAGTTTATTGGTGTTGTTCATTTGAGAGTTCTTGGAGTTCTTCTGTCATCAGATCAGTTTTGAGTTCCATTATGAGCTCTACAATGTCATCTTCATTCACCTCCAATTCCAGATCTCTAGCAGTTGTCACAATTTCATCCATAATTTCAGGGACATCATCTCCATCTCCCTGAATGCAGGAGGAACACAGCTTTTGCCAAGCAGAATTCAACTGTCATTGAGTGACTTCCGACCATGCCTTTTGAATGAGCTCTATAGCTTCAAGAATATCAAATTTTTCTTTCCAAAACATTTTAAATGCCATTGTTGAGGAAAACTTGCATGCTTCAAAATACGAACAAAACACTGCTCAAATGTAAAATTTCTTGAAACCTGAAATAACCTCTTGATCCATTGGTTGAGTCAATGAAGTGGTATTCAGAGGCAGAAACTGAACTGTCAACCAGGAAAAGTCTTCCAGCAAATTATCTTCAAGGGTGTGCTGGTGCATTGTCCAATAGCAACAGTGCTTTAAATGGCAATTCATTGGTCTGAAGGTAATCCTTGATGCTTGAGCACAAACTTCAAACAGCCATTCTTTGAAAAGAGCCTGTGTAACCCATGTCCTTTTATTCGATTTCCACATCACTGGCAGTCTTTCGATAATTATGGAATCTTTTTTGAATGCTCTAGGGTTCTCAGGGTGCTAGACAAGAAGCAGGATAAGCTTCATATCATCACTAGCATTGGATCCAAAAGTAATGTCAATTGGACTTTCATTGGTTTATGTCCAGAAATATTTTTTCGTCTTTTGTGAGGTAGGTATGGTTCGGCATGCACTTCCAAAATAAACCAGTTTCATCACAATTGAAAATTTGTTGTGGACAAAATCCTTTTTTTTTTTTTTAATGAATTCTTCAAATTTGAGACAGAACTTCTCAGTTTCTTCTTTATCTGCACTAGCAGACTCACCGTTAATTACCACATGTTTAATGCCAGATCTCCTTCTAAACTTTGCAAACCATCCAGTGATAGCCTTAAATTCTATCCCCTCATGTGACAAATGCAGAGTTTGTTTCTTCAGTTCTTCAAAAATTTCTCCAGCTTTCTCTTGAATGATAGTCATACTAGTTACATCTCTTTTCATTTCCTTTTCTTTTATCCAAATTAAAAGCAATCTCTCCATTTTTTCATAGATGGCACATCTTTGTTTCTCAGATGAGATTTTCCTTACTCCTTTAGCTCTTTGAGTCTTCTTGATTATATCTTTCATAGCTAAGATTGTGTCTACTGCAGAAGCCATGCTGCCTAGCAACATCAGATCTCTTCTGCCCACTCTCTACCTTGTCTATTATCTCTTGCTTGGTTTCTATGGTGAGCACGGTTCTTGACACTTCACTCTTTTTAGGCTCTATAATATCAATTTATTTTTGAAATAAAAAGTTCAGAAAAGCACTCACAAAAATTCAGAGAACAGAAATCAATTAGTGCATGAAATAATTATGTAAATGTGAGGCCCGAATAAAATTTGAAATTTTGGTGTTAAAATGTTAACGAATATCTGATAGGACAGTTAAACTATCACTTTTAAAAAATAAAAACTAATGCAAAACTTAACAAGTGCCCAACAGTCTCACAAAGACTATAAAAAATTATTTATCAAAAAAGTAAACAAAAAGCTGAAATTACAAAACTTAACAAGTGCCCAACAGTCTCACAAAGACTATAAAAAATTATTTATCAAAAAAGTAAACAAAAAGCTGAAATTACAAAACTTAACAAGTGCCCAACAGTCTCACAAAGACTATAAAAAATTATTTATCAAAAAAGAAAACAAAAAGCTGAAATTACAATGGAACGTTTCAAAGTTTGGAGGAATACTATCTGATCAGTATTGGGTTGAATGTCGATGTTGACATCTCCTGCACTCCAAAAGGTTTCAATTTGTTACCTGAAGACAAACGAAAACCAATCGGTATTTATTATTATTTTATGTAGTTTCTTTTTGTTTTTGTTCTGTGAAGTGTTTTTGTTTTGTTTTTGTTCTGTCTATTCAGACAACGAACACTTTCATGAAATCTTTCATGAAAGTGTTCGTTATCTGATTTGTTTGTATTCCGAACTGTTCGTTATCCAATCATCCACTGTATTAATTAACTTATAAAGTAATTGCATGAAAAAAATAAAAAATTTTATCAACCAAATTGAAGATAGTTTACTTGCAATCTTGAAATGCAAATACAACATACAGATTAGAATATTTTAATGATACATGCCAATAAAATATACTGGGTGATCATAATTATAGTAGCACTATTTAAATTATTTAGAAAGATATTTAGCAGTCCCAATGCAACCAGATCTGGTATGGTGAATTTCAGGACATGCCAGATACATTTCTGTAAAGAGAAATTAAGACCAAAACTCATCACTATGGAACTTTTGGTGCTGCAAGCAATGAAAAAGTGTTTTCCTTTGCATAAACCATGTTACACTCAAGTTCTGGGTAGAAAAGTGCCTACGCAACTGTTGAATGTTATTCATATCTGGTATGGTGGTCACTTCCTCGCCAGAACATGCATTCCAGAACTCTGCCCCAAAAGAAACTTAAAAATAGTGAGAAGTGATAAAAATAAAACTAGTGATAAAACATGGTTAAAATCACAAAACTTTTAAAATATTTCCATAGTGAAAAGTTCAAAAACTTTCTAGTGAATGACTGAAGAAATTCTTACTTAAACAAAAAAAAAAAAAAACAAATAAAACAGGTCTATGCTGGAGTCAAGAATTTTTTAAACACTGGACTCTGACTCCAGTTCCAGCAAAAAGATGAAAGCTCAGACTAGTTTCAGGTCTAAACTTAACATGTGCATCAATTTCTTTGCCATAAATACTACAATGTCCTAGTATTCAAAAAATAAAAGGTGCTTTTACTTCTTATAAAGCAAGCAGGATATATATTACAGATTTTAAAATGTTTACAATATATTTTAAAAATTTCTTATAAGTAATAATATTTGAGTAATGAAACTCAGCTGCATACAGCAGTCATTATTGGAATGCAACTTATTGGAAATTATTAATACAGTAAATAAATCTTGATATAGCAGTTTTGAAAATCTCTCTTTTATATTTATTAAAATAACATATACTTATTATAAAGATTTTGCTATTTGATTTGATAACAATAAAAATATTTTTACTTGTTATAATAATATGATTAATTATTCAGAAGCTAACAATTATGTTTAGACTTGTAATATTATTTTATTTTTCAGATATTTAATAGTTCTTTACTTATAGCTTATGTTGATTTATAATAAAAAATATTAAATTAATTTTTCTGACAATTTTTCTTTACTTCTTTTATTAGCTACAATATACAAACTTACGTTGGTACTCTGGAGGAGACTCACAGTTTGCCAAATTTCTCTTAGCTTCTTCATAAAGTTGGAAGCTTTCCTTAAGATATTCACCTTTCTCACCAGAATATTGACTATAATCTATTAAATAGAATAACGTTTATTATTTACTATTATTATTTTATTAAAATAAAAATATTGAAATAATCATATGTAATTATTAATGAATATATATTCTGATATATTATACATCAAATTCATAATTTTGCTTGCTCTTGGCAGAATAAATAAAGTTCTGAAACAGGCATTATTAAATTATTGTAAAGCTGTTAATCAAGTTTACTTATATGCAGTTTATACGCCATTTTCTATAAAATAGCATTCTTCCAGTAAAAAAATATTAACCTATAGAAGACAAAATATCTTGATGGATGATGTTATCATTAGAATTTGTATTTCAACATTTAAAAAAAATCTAATAAAACCTGGTTTTTCTAGAAAATGCAAATTTAAAGCAATATTTAAGAAATCTCAATAAATATAAAAGATGATAACATTTTATAAAAGTAATAGCAATTTTTTAAATCATATTCTATTTTTATAAACTCATTTTATAATTATAAAAATGAATCATTATGGAAATGCAGCATTTACCAATAAAATAATTACTGAATTTTAAGTGACCAAATTTAACTTTTTTGAAATGTAACAGTTACTATAATTAAAATAGTAATGGAAAAAAAACCTTAAAGAATATTCACCTATAGCTAAATCATAATATACTCTTGGATTAGTTAATGACTGTGTCATGACACGTCTCATTGCACCTCCCATTTCACTTAAATGATGTAACATTGTTAGAAAACCATCAGCTTCTTGAAGTGGTGACTTGTATGTATCTGGATCTGTAAAAGCATACAATTTCAATACTGTAAAATTATAAAATTCTTTATTTTCAAGTTTTAATACAGTATTTATTTATACAAAGAATTTTTAAATAGATTTTAAAAAAATGCAAAAATGTTGATTGAAGTATGTAAACTATCCCAATAAATACATTAGAATAAACTGCCTTTTGGTGTTTATTCACAAAAAGATAGTTTCTTTTGATTTATCTAAATGCAGATTAGTTCTACTGACATAATAAATATGAATTAATGAATTTTGTTCATTTGGTATATTTTAAAAAATTTTATGACTAAAATTTATTTATTATTACCTCTACAAATATTCAATCTATACGAATTTGACACAATGAACTGTTTTGTTTTATATCTTTATGAGATGAAATATTTGACACAAGTAATGACAAATATTTACAAAAATAAAATATTCTAATCTTGAGTAAAGATTAAAATTCCTAAACACTTTAATTACATGACTTGTAGGCCCCAGTTTCCATTTTATTTGTTATTCATGTTTTCTCCATTTGCAGAATAATAGATACCACCACTCATCTCCAATGAATATTTTTCCCCCGCTCTTTCCAACCAGTAGGCATTGTAAGAGCCTTTATTCCATATCCAACACTTGCTTTATCGGGTCCATGTGGTAAGGAATGAACCTAATGTATCCACCATAAAAAATTCTTGAGGTTCCTGATCTGGACTTGACACTGGATCATTCCAGAACAGTAGATTGATCCCTTTTCTTCTTCAGTCATCTAGTCATCTTAACAAAGAATTGTAACAACCAATGCTCTCTTAAACAATCATTTCCTTTTTTCTATTGATAATTAAAATTTCATTAATTTTATTTTACTTTTTATTTATTTTCTGCTTACTTATTGTCTTAACTAACTTTTGTTTTCTTAAAATAAAGAAATGTCTGATAACTTACATATTTACTTATGTTATGTATAGTAATGAATAACTTAATCAACATTTCCATTCTATATATTTTATTTTTTTCATAATGAGATATGCTTATAAATCAGTGCTATGCTATGTTACTATTATGATGTTGGTGGAGAGTATCCTATTTGGGTTATATACTAGTGCCAAATGCTATGCCAGACCAGAGTCAAGGTAATATTATCTTTGAATAGCTATCTGTGTTTAAGTACAATGATGTCTCATACTTCATATTTAATCTGTTTCAGAAGGTAATTTAAACTCTAAATTTTTCAAAGTCTAAATCAATTTTCTCCATTAGAAATAATGGAAAGTGAATTAATCTGTTTTCAGACTCTAAACAATACTCATTTCAATAAACAATAAATATATATAATTTAAAGTAATAAACAATTATTTATTGTGACATAGTCACAATGCCAGGCTGCAATTTTTAATCATATTTTTCATTTATTTAATATATATTTAAAATATATGCTCTTCATCTCAAATTAGTATTGGCTTGCCCCTGTACATCATACTTTTCCTTCAACAATAGAGTCATGCCAGTTATCTATTAACTGCTTTCAAGGGAAAAGTTTTGAATTGAAATAATCTGACTTTTGGTTTACATTGTATGTTCATATATAGTTAATTGAGGCTTCCTGCCCCTATGGTTTTCATATCTCATCTTTTATCTATCTAACTCCATTCTCGAGATTAAAGAAAGACAGACAGCCAGACAGACAGACAACAGTGGGAATTTATAATCTACAATTTTTTCAAATTGAAGCCCAATAATATCATTTGTTCAGACATTTAAAATTTTTTTAAAAGCTCATCTCTATCCTTAAAATTAAGCCTTTATAATAATTAATTACATAAAAATTATTTTTTAATAAATCTCATAACAGATGACACCTCACACAATTTTAATTTTGAATCATAATAAGAGTTTTTTTTACACTTAAATAGTTTTTTAAAAACAGAGAAATTTATCATAATTCAACAAAATTACTTTTGTTAAGCTTTTTAAATTATTTAAATTTTATACTGTATTGTAATATAATTGAAAATTATCTTCTTGGTCCCCAAACCTCTGTTCAAGTGCCAAGAGAGCAAGAACTCTTCCCAACTTTTTTCAAAAATAAATACATAAATTAATCTAGCTCTAAATAAAAATTAAAATTTTTTACACTTAAATAGTTTTTTAAAAACAGAGAAATTTATCATAATTCAACAAAATTACTTTTGTTAAGCTTTTTAAATTATTTAAATTTTATACTGTATTGTAATATAATTGAAAATTATCTTCTTGGTCCCCAAACCTCTGTTCAAGTGCCAAGAAAATNTTTACACTTAAATAGTTTTTTAAAAACAGAGAAATTTATCATAATTCAACAAAATTACTTTTGTTAAGCTTTTTAAATTATTTAAATTTTATACTGTATTGTAATATAATTGAAAATTATCTTCTTGGTCCCCAAACCTCTGTTCAAGTGCCAAGAAAATTGAGCAAGAACTCTTCCCAACTTTTTTCAAAAATAAATACATAAATTAATCTAGCTCTAAATAAAAATTAAAATTTGTATAAGTTAAGTTAAGTTAGTTTATTGAACATAATAGGCAGTCGCCTGTTACAAGGAGGTACATGACGATGAAGAAAGATGGAAAATAAACATTCAATAACAAAAATTAAATATATCTCGGCTTTAGAATAACATATAGTATTTAAGATTTTACATTTAGGAGTCTTCTTACACCATTATAGCAATTGTAAATTTCATTAGTGGTAGCTAGATTGAATTTATTATACATATAATTAACTAAACTTTGGCTATTAATTTGATCTTCAGTGATCTCTGATTCTTGATCTTTATTAAGATCACATCCATAAAATAAATGAAGCTTTGATAGTGTTTTGGCACACTTTGGACAAATGGAGTGTGCAAATTCCAAATATTTGCCTTCAAATATTAATCCTTTTTGATTTAGTCTCATTTGAATGAAAAATTTTTTGGCTTGAAAAGTTAGATTTGTAAAGATATAGTTGTTAATATACGGATAATTAAAAAGGAAATTATAGTAATTTTTATCTCTTCTCCTACGAACATCTTCAATATCCTGAGTTATGGAACATTCTACTACTCTAAGCATTAATTGATTTATATACTGATTATTGTTTCTGAGATAATCAAAGACCAAATCGATAGAAAATCCATAGTTATTAAATATGTGTGACAATTGAGCAATCCAATTCCTATTTATATTTGTCTTCTGCAATCTTTTATACAATAATAATACCAACTTATTAGATAAATCATCTGAATTAATTATTTTGTATAACCATTTCAGGCAGGCTTTTAATAGGATTGTATTTATTTTATATCTGTTAAATTCCAAACAAAGAATACTTCCTGGCGTATTAAACTCCAATTGATATAACTTGCGTATAAATATATTTTGGATTTTTTCAAAGTTATTAAATTCATTGAGGCACCAGATTGGAGCAGCATATAACAAAGCATTTAATACTATAGAATTAAACAATTTAAAATGTACCTTGTTATTTCTTATCTTTGCTTTAGAGAACAAAATTATCAGATTATTTAGAAGATTTCTCGATTTAACCGTTATATACTTATAGTGTTTGTCAAATGACATATTAAAAGACCATATAAGTCCTAGAAATTTCTTTTCGTTAACAATGTTTAATTTGACATTTTGAATATAGAAAGACATAACTCTATTAGACAGTCTATTTCCATTTCTGAAAATCATAACCTCAGATTTGTTAGGATTAATTTTAACCTTCAACTTATTTAGATATTCAGTTATTTGTAAAATCTTACGTCGAAGAGCTACTGCAGATGGAGCAACGATGACTATGTCATCTGCATAGGAAATTGATTGAATACAAATATTATCAATATAAATACCGTCGTTTTCATTCGTAAAACAATCATTCAAATCATATAAAAAGAAATTGAACAAATAAGGAGAAAGAGGATCACCTTGTAATAATCCCCTGCAAGTTGAGAATGGATTTCCACATTTATTATTCTGTTTAATTATAACATTATAGTTGCCGTAAAGTTGACCAATAATTCTTACGAAACGTTTACACGCCTTATGTTCAAGTAACTTATTCTGGAGCAATTTAATACATATTGAATCATATGCCTTTGATAAATCCAGAAAGATAGCAAAAACTTTATTTCTCTTTTTTAATAACTGCAATTGAATTAGTGACATTAAGACGAATAAGGCTTTTTGCGTGCCCCCATTAGCAACGTAAGCAAATTGAGTTCGATTATGTAGATTATTTAAATTAGTCCATCTGTTAAATTTTATTGCTAGAATAGCTGTGAAGATCTTTCTGAAATTTGACAATAACGCAATTGGACGATAGTTTGCAGGCTCATCTTTGTGACCTTGTTTATAAATCATAGATAAAATCACCTCATTCCAGATTGATGGAATTTCTCCACTAGAATAAATGTTGGTAAAGATTCTAGTCAAATATTGTACCAATTTGAAAGGTAAAAGTTTGATTACAGAATTAGGAATGCCATCGGATCCAGGAGCCGATTTACTTTTTAATCTATTAATACAATCTTGTGTGTCTTGAACTTCAAAGAATTCACTTTGATTTACATCAAAACCTATTGAATGATCAATGTGTGTGTTCGCTTGATTACATGAATATTCATTCGAAAATTTATCAAAATGACTCACCCAATCTTCATGACTGATAGTTTTTTGACTGGTATGTCCTTGTCTTTTTCGCCGATAATCGTTAATGATTCTCCAAAAGGAGCTCGAATTCTTAACTTCCATTAATGTTTTGTTTAAATTCGCCAAATATCGTTTCTTTTTTGCTCTTATTAAGTTCAAGTAAATTTTCTTACTATTAATATACTTGTTCAAATCCTCAGACAAATTTGTCTTTCTAAAAGTTTTTAAGCAACGTTGTTTAATTAATTTATGTCGATAACAACAATTGTCGAACCAAGAATTTTTATATTTGTTATTTATAGTCATACATCGATATTTTACCTGGCATTCCGATAGTCTAGACATTAATATTCGATAGTTTGAAATAGGATCATTATTTTTTTCTTGCATTAACAGATTTTCTGTTATAGATTCTAAAGAATTTAACCATTTCTGTAAGTTAAACCTTAGGTTATAGTTCTTTTTATTTTTTTGTTAGTTGAGCTTCTCTATAACTTTTTGTCATGGATTTTTCATTTTGTATTATAAGCTGCAGAGGGAAGTGATCAGATGAATCCTCATTTAAAACTGTCAAGGACATGCACTGATCAACCAAAACCTCAGAACATATTATGTAATCAATTATTGACTTACTATCATTGCATAAATAAGTAAATTCAGCCGGAACGTCGCCATTTAATCTACCGTTTAGTATAAATAATTGATTTTCTTGCACGAAGTCCAATAATTTTTTGCCTTCACAATTGAGCTTTTTGTCTTTGGATTTTCTTATGTTGCTAATATTCTCAAAATTTTGATAAAATTTAGTATCAATATTTTCACCAATGCGAGAATTAAAATCGCCTCCAATAATCCAACTCTGAGTTAAACAAGTCCATCTGTTCATATGATGTTGAATTGCAGTGAGGATCATCTTTTTATCATTAGAAGGTGCAAGATATGTGACTATAATTCCCAGATGATAATCATTAATCTCAGAGTTTAATTTTTCATTTAATCTAATTATTGCCACTATATAATTCGACGTAGTGTGTTGGTAAATGATTGATCCAAAAAACTTTTTCACCAGAAGTAAAATTCCACCAGAAGGACGGCCGTATTTACTTACTCTATGAGCTTCACTAAATACTATATAATTATCAGCTTCAAGATACTCTTTTTCCATTGAATTAAGTTCCCTTAACCAAGTTTCAGTAAATCCGACTATCACATTCAAATTTATAAATGATTTTGCTTGGAGCGCATGTAACTTAGTTTTCAAACCTTGACAATTCCAAAATATGATTGAAGTTTTAATATATTGCATATATTTTTTATTTCCACTTTGATTGTTACTATCAAGATTGTAATCATCGGCATCATCGTTATCTTTTCTAATGTTGACCAAATGTTATCACCAGTGTTATACTGTTTAATACACCTATCAGTTGTTTTGTGCATAGATTCTAGTCTGCATGATATAAAAAAATGGTCGATTGGAATAATTTCGTTAGTATCCATATCCAAAGAGTATTTGAGATTATTTTTTATAAAGTAATCATCCCTCACAATTAATTTCGTTTCAGCAATAAATTCTGTTTTGATTTTCTTAATCAACTTTTTTCTTCTAATTCTGGATCTATAACATAAATCCGACTTCATAATGATGTTCGCAGTTTCATTAGCAAATTTGGATTTATTCCGCCAAAATTCCTTGAGAATAAGATTTCTATCTTTAACTGATGCCAGTTCTATTTTTATTATATTATTAATGGAATTACTTTTCCCCAATGGAATTAAATGATCAATTAAAATATTTTTTAAATTAAGCTTAACCTCAATAAACTCAATGAACTCCTTCAACTTGTCATCTGATTTAAAAGGAAAATTAATCACTATCAAATTCGTATCGTTGTTTTCATTAGTAATACTATCCAATTGGAATTCAAACATACCTTTCAAATGTAAGACTGTTTTCATTTTCTCTTCTCCTATAAGAATTTTTTGATTAATAGCTTTCATGTCTTCTTTAATTTGAATGTTGTCTACCTGTATTCGACTTATTTCCTGTTTAATCGCACTAATCTCCTGGTTTAGTAGTTCAAATTTACTCTGTATTAGCTCATAGATTGATTTTAACGAATATTCCGGTTCAACTGCGCCACCCTGATCGAACTGATCTGACGATTCAAAATAATCAATAATTCTAGATTTTCTTGTCGTCCCAATGTTTTCTCTTATGTCTTCGTCTATAATATCATCGTCATTAATCACTTCCGTTGCATGACTTGTATTATCAGAACAGGGTAATACTGCCTTTTTTGGACGACCGCGCCCCTTCTTTTGCATAGCTATTTGACTTGAGCCAGGAGGAGAATGTTGTAACGGACCGGGGTTAGTTTCTATTCCGGCCATAATTAGCAATATTAACAGCCAATACAACGATATAAAACACATTAACAACCAAAAACGTTAGGCTACAACTTAAAATAGTCAACACCACAACTACAGTTCACACAAGGTCAGGCGTAAAACTCACCCACACCGACGAAGTCAAGTAGCGCCCCCAAATACAAATTTGTATAAAAATATCTCATCTTAAAAGTAAAAATATTTAACATAGTATCTTGTTTTTATGAAAGTAAAACACTTTTCTCATTATATTCTGCATTATCCGTGTCTCCATTATTGGAGGCATGGATAATGCATCTTATTATTAGTAATATATTATAGCAATGGCTATATTATTTGTAATACAGCCATTTCTGGCCTGATAATATTCGGCTTTGGTTGATGTATAATCTACAATCTGTTTTAATGAAAGCTAATACATTTTCTTTTATTCAGTTTTTAATTTCATATTAAATTTAACATAATAGTTTATGTATTATAAACAAAATACATTTTCAGAATGGTAATTAATTAATTAATAAGCTTTAAATGTGTTCAAAGTTGAATAAAACAAAACTTTCAATTTAAACAAATTATTCAGAAAATGTTATTCAACTAATGCCTTTCATTGTATCATTGTAAATTATCATTAACTTTGCAATATTAATATTTATTGATAAGGAAACCATTCAAAATATTTTCTTCAATTTTACACCTTATTCAATGAAAAAAAGTATACACACAAGAAAAGCCATATTGTTCAAGAATAAAGTGCACTTGCTGTACTTGCTAGGCCATTTAATTTCTGCCTTGATATTCTAATAGTTTTCATGTTAGATATAATATTTTAAATAGAAAGAGTTAACAACACAGAATTTTTATTTTAATGCTAATAATTGTATTCCTGACATAAATTTTTATCAAAATATAAACATGTATGGATAATCTGCAAACCATATAATCCACATACATACAATTAAGAGAAAACTGTATTGCATTTTATGTAATATGTATTTAAATTTAAATAATTAATAATGTAATAATTAAACCTGGCTTGCTATGACTTCTGAGATGTTGAATGAGACGGAGAATAATCCTAGGCATCATTGCTTCAGCAACACATAATAAATCAGAAGGAACAGAAGGTTTTTCATCTTGAGTGTTAGGACCATGTTTATGACAAAATCTAAAAAGAAGAAAAAGAATATATACGTTATTTATTAATGTATACTTTTAATTATATTTTCAATACACATATCAGTTATTACTAAAGTGAAGATTTATATGCAAATGCATGTATACTTTGCAGATGTTTGGGAAGATGGGGCAGGAATGAGTTCAAACCACGGGGAGTAAGTTCAAATAACAAAAAATTAAACCACATAATAACTACATATTTCTAAAATTTTGGGTATAAACAGTCAATTTTTTTTAAATGTAAATGTTAAAATGCCATATACCAAATATAAAGTTAGCATCAACCTTGAAAGCATGTGACTATGAGCTACTCCACAGCTCATAGTCACATGTTCAATATTATCAAATAATTGAAAATTGAAGTGCTATTTTTCAACAGCTAAGTGAGAAAAATAAACAGTGGCTAATATTATTATCAACATTCAATATTGGAACTTATTACATTTACAAAATTAATTTAATAGACCAATGCTAATGAACTTTGAAATTATCAATGAATTTCATTTGTTTGCAATTTAAATTTTACATTTGATTCTAGTATCAATAGTGAAATGATTTCTAACTTATTGTTTCCTGCCCATTTGGCATTCAAAAGTTAAAATTATGCTTTTGACTGTCTAACAAATTTCAACTGTAATCAATACCAAATTTGAATTTGAAAACTAATCTCTTCAAAAATTTTAAATTTTTGAAAAGATTAATATGTGAGTGGTCAGGAAAACATCAGTTGACTAATGGTGATTTTAAAAACAGCATAAATAGGCAGTTTCTGTTTGGTATCTGTACTTTCCAACAAAGTTTTCCATCTTTTTTTTTTTTTAACTTGTAAGTATATTTTTATTTTTTATATATTGTATTGGCTCAAATATTAATCAATGTTGCTTCCTAGTTTTTAAAATCTTAAATTAATAAAATTTGTAGGATTTCTAAGTCTTGCAAGGGTACTGTCGGAGTGTCTTCTAATAAATTTTAATAAAATTTAGTTAATAACTACGTTAAAAGTATACAAACTCTATTTTAAATTTGTAGCATTCACTAAAAGTGTTGATCAGAGTTACTAACAATCAAACGTTGCACTACTTTATAGTAGTTTAACACAATTATGCAAATCTTTAGAAGTGAAAGAGTCGCGGAGGAAGACAACGATATTACATTTAGAATAAATTCTGGAGTTTTCAAAAATGGGAGAAGAATTAATAAAATTTAGTTAATGATTATGTTAAAAGTATACAAAATTTTATTACTTCTTCTTCTTTTTTTTTTTACATGACCGTTATTTGGAATTTCCGTTGCGTAATTTTTCGAATTTCACATTTCGAATTATAGAATTAATTGATGATGAACGCTTAATGCGTTTGAAAACGTTTTTAAGTTATTAAAGAATTTTGCTGGATAGTTGAATGGTTTTTATTTTTATTGATTTTATTCTCCAGTAAGCAAGTATACTATTATAATTTTATATATTTTAAAGTAGTCACACATATGTATTTTGGAACTTGTAGTTATTAGCAAGCTTATCAAAATTTTAAAAATAATCCAAAACAAGTATAACTATTAAGATTATCTTATTTACTAATTAGCCTGATGGCTAGCAAAACACATGATAATTGTCTATTTTTTTCATCATTACTGATTGCTTTTTAAATTTAAGTTATTAAAAACATTGATCATCATAATCAAAAATAATTAAATAAGAAGCAATTATATAAAAAATGCTTACCCTGATGCTTTCATTACACTAGTATCACCACAATCACATGCACCCCCAGCTTGGCTTCTAAACATGTTAAAATCATGTCCTTTGTGATTCCCTCTTTGAAAACATTCTGCACACAATGACATACAAGGTGATATTCCACAAGTTCTACAACGATAAGCTACAAAATTGGCTGTCCAAACAAGACCACATGTAGTTGCATTATCATATCTTCTAACTGTTAAATATAAATAAAAAAAGTTAAATAGAGTTCTAAAAAAATTTTCTTTAAATTACTAAAATTAATTTTAAAACATTTTAATGGAGTTAAAAATTAACCCAATATCTGATTTCCAATGCTTTTTTTTAGAATTACCATAAAGATAATAGAATAATTAAATATCATCTATATACAGTAAAACCTGTCTATGGCGACCACCCACGGTTCCTTCAAAAAGTGGTCTTTTAGACAGGTGGTCGTTTAATACAGGTAACTTATTATGTAAATTGAAAATTCCGTGCCAGAAATTTTTGCTTGTTTTGACAGGTGCCCGTCCAATGCAGGTGGTCGCCTAAGCAGTTTTCACTGTATATAACCCATTCATTTCGTGTCCGTCCCGTAACCGTTTCATAACGGACACTAGAGGCACACGACCTAGAGGTGATAACGGACACTAGAGGAAATATGACACACGACCCCTATCGTGTGTCATATTTCAAACATTCAAATTAACAATTTTAATTATTATTTAAATTAACAATATAAATTATTATTATTTATTTGGCTCATAATTATTTGGTCAATATAACAATATAAATAATTCAGTATATTTGTAATAGGAATTTATTATTTCAGGGGCTTATATCTCGCGAAGGGTCGCGAGTAGGGGTATGGTTCCTTTGACTTTATTGTTCGCACAGGGGCTACAGTTTGGGGGGGGTCGCCACCTCATCATTCGGAGGGTAAATCTTACCATTGGGACTTTAATAGAGCTGTACAGCATATTGATAGGAACAAAAAAGTCAAAGGAACCGTGCCTCATGGAAATTTATAAATAACGCCCACTAGGGGGCACCCAGGCTACTAGTATACTATATATCAAATACCAATTAGTTTACTTTATTAATTAGGAACAGTAATTGATAATAAAACTTCAATGCATTGTTTTTTTAGGAGAATGGAATAAAATAATAAATAGGGAAAAACAATAGTTCTGGGAAACCATTAAAAGTTATAGCCAAGAACAATTTCATAATTATATTTGAAATATATGCTACAACACTACAGTATATTTATAGTAATAATTCCTGTTTTGATATAATAACACAATCATTAATCAAAAAACAATTGATTTGTTTTTTGATTAATGATTGTGTTATTACATCATGACCTAAGATGATAATGTACAGTTTAAATTAATCGGTACTTGGCAATGGCTGCCAACCAATGTTTTCAATATGCCATTTAGTAAAATCATTATGAAAAGTTTTAATTTGCATAAATTTGAGCATTTGTTATTCTAAATAACATTTTGAATAAAAATGATTTGTTTCAATGCAATGTTATTCTTACAAGTATAAAATTAAGTTATAAAAATTAAAAACAAACTATTTGGGGAATCACTGTAAACTTTGAACTATCAACCTGGAAGTTTTATGAGCACCTCACTGATAACAAAAGAGACAGTTTAAAATTTGAGTTTTCTACACCCAGTAGTTTTCCTCTAGGATGGGTGGTCAATAGTTTTTGCCCCCGGGCCGAGTTGGAAAGAAAACTTTTTTCATGGACCAAACCAGAGGCTGCCCTAGGAAGATTTTGAGGTGGTGCAAGATCTCATTGTGGTGTCACCCCATAGAGACTAAATTGTATATAGAGATTACAGATACATTTTTCATATTATCATGCTTTATCAATGTTCTACGCTTTACTTAAGAGATTTGTAATGGAGGGTTAACTCTAACCGGACAGTGAGTTGTTGACCTTTTTCTTTTAGGCATTAGAACTTTTCACCAATCCATTCTGACTTGAATAGCTAATATTGAAAGATTAATCGCAGTCCACATAAATCCATTACACGGGCCACATCTGGCCTGTGAGCTGTATGTTGGCCATACCTGCTCTAGGAGCATCTGCAGTGCCAGATAACGAAAAAGAAGAAGAAAATAGCTTTTTTGGTAAGTTTTACACATTTCAAATTGCTTATATTTTGGCAACCTCTGTATAAAAATATCTGAAATTTTGCACATTACCTAAGAAAACAATTATCTTTCAAATCAGATATTCAAAATTACTATAGGTATTTGAAACCAGAGAGATCAACCCCAGAAAATTAGAAACATTGATTCCCGTACATTAGTCAGTCAGTGACTTTTTTACTTGGTGTGGATCACTGCCATGACTCAGTCAAAACTGTAAATTTTCAATAATTGATGTGATAAAATGAGAACCTACAGAGATAGAAAAAAGGTACGTTATTTATATAGAGTTAGTTCCAGAATCAAATAAGTCACACAATATATGAAGAAAAATGAAAATAACAGAAATAATACAGTGAGGTTCCACTGTATTAATTAAAAATCTTCATATAAGAAACATTTTAAATTCTATATAAAAAGTTTAAATCAATAAAAATTTTAAAACATTACTTCAAATTTTTTCAAATTATTAATATTTCGGAAACTCATTTAAAAATAAAACTGCTTTATCAATAAATTATGAAATAATATAAATTTATAAACAAAAGATATAAGAAATATAATAAGCTGAATAGATAACTCTATAATTTGGTGTGTGTATGTATATATATATATATATATATATATATGTTTAAATTAACATTTGCCATGTAGAGTAATACTCAGTTCTATTAAATAACAACTGTTGCAATAAGTAGAAAAAAACTGTGCCAATTATAGCTAGATAGTTCCTCCAGCTACGTAACCATAATTGAATAGAATACAAAGAATGAACAATAAACATGATTTATGTAGACAAGTTAAACAATAATATTAATAATAATAATAATAATAATAATAATAATAATAATAATACAAAATAGCACGAAGTATAAAAATAATCGAATGTAGCTTGTGAGAAGATTAAGGAAAGTTTACATTGTTTATAAAATTTCCAAATTATTTAGTTTTATTATGTCAAAACAGTAATGTAAAACAATAAATATGCCAAAAATTTGCTGATGTAAAAAATGTTTAAGTTTTAATTTAAGTTTATTGAAAACTTAATTATAGAGTATTAAAACTTTAAAAAATATTATAAAAGTATTTTAATATCATCTACAAACTATCATCTGTATTAAAATTAAGATTAAAATCAAAATATAAAAAATTTTATAGTTAAGGAAATCATTTTTAATTTAACCTTTTCCTTAATACAGAGTTTAAAAAAATGTAATTATGTAAATTTCTTAAAAAGATTATTAATTATAGTAATTAAAAAAAAGCATTTTAAACTGGTCAATTTAAATAAAATCAATAATTATTTCAGATTAACTAATAATTTAAATAGATATTACAATATCAACTATTAAGATGATAATCTCTCAATGAGTGAATTTCAAATATTTAAAAAAATTATCTATATAAATTGAAATTGTAAATTTACTTACAAAATTTTAATGTAAAATTTTTAAAATTAAATTATAAATATAAGAAACCTTTAAATATAAGAAATAAAGCTTTAAATAATGAATAAATTATAGTACTAGGTTTTTATTCAAAATTAGGCAGATAAAATTTCTTTAAACAAACGTAAATAAGTTTCTGTAAATTTTATTTAAATTACATTAACATGTAATTTAAATAAAGATTTTGAAAATTTAAATAAATTTAAATCTTCAAAAAGCAAAGAATTGTACATTAACATATACAATTCTTTGCATTTTGAAGATCAAAACAAAAAAATTCCAATTACATCCAAACATCTTTGAGCTTTCCAGACCATCTTCAGTCTGGAAAATTGTCTTCACAACAGTACATATCAAAGGTGCTGGAGAAATAAAAGTAGCTGAAATTATGCTAGATTTAATAAATAACCTTGTAGAACTTATTAAACATGTCTTATTAATCTTGAAGTTAATTGTCAAAAAAAATTTATGAAATTTAAATTTCAGAAATTATTCTGGGCTATGACTTTGCTAATTAAGCAATTTAATGATTTAACAAAGCAAATTGCAATGATTTTTAGCATTTGTAAAAATTTTATTTTAATAAAAAATTAAACTCATTAAACTTAAATGAACAGTGTAATTATATAATGGTATGAAAATAAGTTGTACTACTTTCAAAATTTATTTTTGTTTATATTTGGAATATTAAAAATTAATTGAAAAGAGACTTTAATCCCCACAATACCAATATGCTTATGCAATGTTCTAGAGTCAAATGATATTTTATTACTATATAAGTATGTTGCTGATCATGGTCATCAAGAAAAATATTTGGACTTATCATTGAATAATAGTTTGTATCTTTTCTGTACCCATATAAAGCTATTTTTATTAACTGTAATAATTTTATTACTATTCTATTGCTTAATAATTTTACAAGGTCAGACTTGTCTTTTAAAATAGTCTGGTTGAAAAATTTCTTCTTAATAATATTTTGATTTAAAAAAAAATGTATTCAAAATTTTCTGGTGATCCAAAAAAATTAGTTACTTAAATTATTAAGATACTAAATAAAAATGATTGTTTTTCATTTATAAATTAAATTTTTTCAATGTGCATTGATAAAGGAAATAGTTTAGCACAATTTTTATGTATTAAAAAATTTCAAAACTAAAATTACTACTTAACGAGCAATTATTTATTGAGACATTGTCACAATGCCAGGCTGCAATTTTTAATCATACTTTTAATATATATGCTCCCCACTAGGGTGGTCCATGCTTAAATAGCAAAAAAAAAAATTTTTTTCAAGTGGAAGTCATGCCACTCCCTTGTTTTGTTACACCTACCATTCCTATTATGTGTTCAAAATTTCAGCCCTTTATCTTATATACAAGGGGGTGCTCATCGACTTTGAAATATCTGAATTTTATCAAAAAAATCCTTAAAAAGAACTAGTCAGGATATTAGGTAAAAAACGTAAACTATGTATCAAAAGTAAGTTTTTTAATTCAAATATAGTATTTAAACACACATAAAACGTTATAAACAGGGCTGTGGAGTCGCATAAAAATCTACCGACTCCAACTCCGACTCTTCCTTACCATCCGAC